ATGGTGGGAGGGTGCGGGAGGAGGGGAGGGAGAGGGAAATGGGATTGACATGCAAAACAAGCTAATTAAAATAAAAAAAGAATTTTAATGAAACTTGAATTAGGAAATTATGTAATTCAAAATGTAATTTTTTCCTGATGAACTTTTTTTTACTTCTAGTAGGTTCTAGCAGTCTATGTATGTATTTCCACTTTTATTTTACAAATAGAACAATACTTTATTCTCACAGATCAACATGAAATAAATATTTGTCCATAAAATATTTAAAAGTATATTATTTGAATGTATTAATGTTTTAAATTCTTACATAGTTTTACTTTGACAATTGGGCAGATGTTTTCATTCTGTCATAAGTACATTCTGTATATATCAATGAGTCCTTCATGATTTAAAGACAAGTTTAATATTTGAGTTAGTTTTCGCTTTTGAGACATGGTGATTATTTTAATGTTTCACAAATTCACAACCTCCATATGCATGATGAATATACTTGAGATGATACTAGCCAGCCTTAATCATCCTACATGTAAACATATATCTAAACATCGTGCCAAAGCCTAGTAATATAAAGGGTTCATATTAGTCAACATCAAATAAATGGTTTTGAAAATAAGGAGTTCAAAACATTCATTTGTGCTTAGAAATATTTCAAATGTTCTTCATCATTATATATGTGAAGTCTCAATTTGGAAAGTCAGATCTTCTTAATTTGAATTGGGCTTTTATTGTCAACATTTTCTATGGACATTTATTTTTGAGGATTTAGATACTTACATATATTTGTGTATCAATATCTCTGTGTTATCCCTACATAGCTAATGTTACCTGCAAAGAGAATATTGTTTCATAATAGAATTCAAGAAATCTCATAAATTTGTTTATAAATCTCACACACCACTTGTCATTTGTTAGAGACTGTAACTAGATAGTTCAGGGACTTTTAAAAACACTGGAAATAAGAGGGGTTTCTTAACAGTTATGAACTTAAACTTTCCTGAATTGCATGTCAATTCCAATGTGGGTTAAATTTTAAATTCCTTTCAAATTGTTTAATCAGTTTTCATGGAAATGAGTGCTTGTCTTTTGGTTTTGAATATGAAGATAAATAACAAATTCAAATATTCTAAGGAAAAAACCCATTTAAAATATTTCAGAATTTTAAAATACTTTTAAAAATTGCAGGTCCATAGATGAAATTATAAAAGGTCACAATTGTTTTTTTTTGCATCTGTTTGTGCTGTAATTATGCACACTATTGGATCTTCTGATGGATACTTGTGGGATTAATAATTAGTCTCATTGGCAGAAATGGTGGTTAAATTTAGAATATCCTATGACATATAATAAGAAATACATATTTATAATATAATTCTCAAGGACATTGCATCTTGTGGGTGACTGATGATTACTAAATCTGAAAGCATGCATAAACAATCAATTTTTACTTTTAGTGACTGATTCATTTTAATTCCACTTTTTGATTGTTGTGTACAGTACTGATATAAAATGGATATATACAATCGTGATATATTTCAATTACTTTCAGTTCTTTTGAGAAGTGTAAATGCTGACCTGTATGTTAATTCTATTTTTGAGAAGCAACTACATGAGTTTTTCATATTGGATTTACCATTTGACATTCCACACTTTAGAGAAGAATTCTAAGTTTTCAGCATCCTGTCAGCACTTATTAAAGTCTAGCCAAGAAGCTGTCCATCTGAATAGGATGAGATAGCATCGCAGTATCCTTTTTCCTGCCTTCATTTAATGGCTAATGATAATGAGCATCTGCTAATGACATTGTTTTCCACATATATTCTTTGCATAAATTACTGTTCAGTCTTTTAAACATGTTTTAAAGGAGATCATTTAGTATTTTGCTGTTGTTGCTGTGGAACTGCAGTAGTTCTTTCTATATATGTTATGAGTTAATTTACTTTTTAGTTTTGTACATGGATGTGTTTCAACATGGTCACAGCCTCGTCCTCTTTAACCCTGACTCATCCCAATTCTATGTTCTCTTCTATTAATAATTTCCTTTCAAACTTTCATGTGGGGACACCAGACCTTGAGCAGAAACCCACTTCCCCTTTGGCCTGGGAGCAGGCATCTGTGTAATGTTTACTGAAAACAATTCAGTGCTTTAAAGCTCTTGATAGGGCTCAGATAAGGGCTTGCTCACTGAGATACCATGACTTTCACACCCCTATGGCTAGATGCCTCTTCCTGTCTCCCCCCCCCGCGGTGTCTCCCCGATTCTGGGGCCTGAGATTAAACCACCAGCCAGGAGGGTGAGAAGTCTGGAAAGAGACTTCTCCTGAGACTTCTCTCTCCTAAGCCGACTTAAAATCTCCTCCTAAGCTGACTTGGGAAGCATAAAGTTTTCTTAAAGCAACCGACCGGTCTCTGTGTCATCTATCCCGACCACCTCGCTACATTCTCGGATGCAGGCCGCACAGCAGGTGCGACACTTTCATGTCTGTTTGTTTTGGATTCTTCCTGTTTGGTGAACCTTTGAGTTTCATCAGTCATCTCTCAATGTAGGTGTAGACGGAACTGTGTACTGGAACACAGAAAACTCACCAGTGTTCACCTTTAGAGACATTGTCCCTCTGTGCTTACAAGAACCTTCATCAGCCAATAGATACCAAGGAAGGGCCCAGAGAGGTCCCATAACCCCTGCTCCCCATCTTTGACTGGATGTTGTGAGATCAGTCTTGTTAACACTCTGTACTGTCAACTGCAGCAGCTTTACGTCCATGACTGCATCAGACATGATACACCCAGAAGATAGCAATTCTGCACTACTCACCATCATCTTACAGTTCCTCTGGCTCTTCTTCTGAGATACTCCTTGAACCTTAGACAATGTAGTTTGGACATCCCACAAAAGACTGAACTCCCTACTGATTTTCTGTACCTGAGCCAGACATTAAACTCATTTATTACGTTTATTTTGGTGAATACTTTCTCCAATTCTGTGAGTTCTTTTCCACTAGGCTGAATATTTTAAAGAAGAGTACTTTGGTTTTGATATGGTCTGATTTGATTATTATTACATGTTTGTTTACTAATGACCACAGTCTCATGACCAAGAGAGTATCATTAAAACCCATATCATAAATGAGTTCCCCTGCATTTTCTTCTAATAACTTTCACAGTTGAACCTTTTGTGATTTAATTCTCACTAATTTGAATTAATTTACATGTCCTATGAGATAACTGTCTAGTCTCATTCTATTGCATATCTATGATATAATCTTTCAGCATCGTTTCTTGAAGCATGTTCTTTTTTCAGGGAATGCTGTTTGCCTCGTTGGGGGAAACTATTTAACCATGCAGTAAATATTTGTGTATTTATTTCATGGTGATAGGTATTGACTGGAGGATATTGTACATGCTAAGCAAGTGCATTACATCCTTGGTTTGGAAAAGCTTTGTTTATTTGCTCGCTGTTCAATTGTATTACTCTAAATATCTGTCATTTCACCAGACTCACCTGCTCTGTTAGAAAACTATGAGAATAAGCCCAGTGCATGAGAGGCTTAGGTAAAACTGTGATATTTCCTGCTGTGATTTCTGTTTGATGACTTATTGTAAAGATGAGAATCATCATTCCCCTGGCAATAATGGATATAAGAATTATAATCTAGAATGTCAGTTCCCTTTGCATACTTAAGAACAATAAATGACTAGTACAAACAAAAGTTCAATCATGGAATTGACTCATAAAAGTGTCAAATAGATGATTCTTACTATTAGATAGGTAAGATGTGATGGATTTTGGAAAGGATGGCATGAGGGGTTAAAACAGATTAGAGAAATTAAAGTATGTAATCGGTGCATGGCAGGTCACATCCAGAAAGTAAAACCTTAAAAATTCCATGTTACACTTATTGGCTCATGGATTAGTAGCCTGGTGAGTAGTGGTTCTTTCTGTGCCTAAGAGCTTCTGAAGTGGAGGAGGGTTTGGTAGCAGTCAGTTTGATGTTGTGCCTCATCTCCTATGTACACACCATCCTCCAGAATGATTAGCTGTAATTCCTTATTAGATCAAGTAAAAAGAAGGACTTTTTAATCTAATTTTTTTCTGTTACCTAACTGATTGCATTTATATTCGCTTCCCCAAACAAATGTAAACTCAATTCTTAATCATGAGACTAAGAGTTGGCTTAAACATCAGACCATCACATGTTAAACATGCCATTGCCACATGCAAACATACAGCAGGCAAAAGATTAATTTCATAGATACTTTTTTCAAAGAGAACATATTCTCCTAAGTTTCTATGCCCTTAATTGCCATATCTAAATATTGCATTCTTTCTGATATGACAAATCTGAGACAAGGATATGTGCATTTAAAAAATCATTTAGAGGTTTGCTTGATGATAATACACCAGATGAACTCTATTTCCTGTCTCAAATCCAGAACATTATTAAAATAATTTGATGTTTAGGGTATGTACAAAAGCTTAAATGTACTTCTTTGATTACCTATTAGAATTAGGTCTTCCTTTTAGTTTTTTATGTATCTTTTGGATGTTTGTATAACAGTTAAGAACTATGTACCTTTATGCAGAATTATACATTTAAGTCTTGTCAAATAAAATGCCATTTTTCATGTTTGCACACTGTAATGTTAAACAGAAAGTGTCTGTATATTAGAAAACATAATAAAATGCATGCAAATAAAAGGGTAAATTTATGATAGATAAATGATCATGGAAATAGAAAAAATGAAAATTTATTTTAACTAAAACTTTGGTTCCATCAAATAGAACTGTATATATCTTGATAGTATGGATTCTGGAGTGTGGTTTGAAGGAAGGCAATAGTGCAAATAAATTCCGTGCCAGTAGACACTTTAAAATACTAGATTTAGCAGCAGTCACATTAGCTTAGATAATGGGCGAATTTTTCTTCATTGAAAATGCTCTCTGTCGCTTGAGAAGAACTTACTGAGGCAGCCTGCCATCTAGCTTTTTCACAGAAAAACAGGCTTGCAGACTGCAGATGAGAGTCTGGAGCCGAGACAGTTTTAACTTAGCCATTCCTAATTTATCTCAAGCGTTTTCAATTCATCTCCACTGCTCTGTGCACACAGGAACACCAGATTGCCTTCCCTGGGGAACAGAATGCAACCGGGGATCTAGAGAGCTGTCACAGTCCAAGAAATATTTAAATTGTGCTGGTTTTCTTCTGGAGAGCTGAGCCCAGGGAATGAAACTCTCCATCCAGTCGTAGCTTTGCGGGCAATAGATCAGAGGATATTGCCAGGTTCCTAATGGATTATTGTTATCGGGCAGGTTTTCTCTGAAGGTACGTAGTTATTTTCTCAATTCATTACTCTCTCCTATTTGTCAAGTAATAAGCTAATGAGCTGAGAATACAAACCTGTATATAGAGAAAGATGTTAAGGAGTCAGTATTGACTGAGTAATGGACTTTATTGCTGCATGTTTGCATGTGAAATAATTGGATTCCTTTATTAAGATGAGTATATGTACTCTGAATTGCAGTGTCAGCACAAAACAGAAGAAAACCAAAACAAAACCGTGCTGCAGGCTGCATTATAATAAGTTCATATTAATTCTTTGGAGGATTTTCCTTTTGTAGATGCAGCCAATAATGAAGGGAAATACATACTTTGGAAACTTGCTTAATCCTGCGTGTTCTGGAATAGTCATAATATTTTCTCTCTGTCATGGTAAATACTTTCTATCAAACCCTGTTATTAAATGTGCTGTTCATCATAGATATTTATGCACCTATATGAATAGTGAAAGTGTTTGATTTAGAAAAACTCCAGTAAAGATAAGGGGGCACATTTTTTATGTTGCTGATCTATTTTTGTGAGTTTAAAGGGAATTTATAAAAATTAGGTACCACCTGCTGGTGAAATATATTGTCAAAATCATTTCAGTTTTCATGACAAATAAAAATGTTAATATTTTCCATTTGGTGGGAAAATCATTTGGGAAAGTAAAATGTTCAAAACTTCTGAACAGTAACTGGGCTAATGAAAGGGGGTAAAACATCTTAATCCTAAGTGAAATATAGCTTATTTTTTACCAAGATCTACGGCAACAGGGAAGGGTGACAGTCCTAACTAAAAGTTAAAGATGTGTCTGTGTGGGTTGGGGCACTATGTTCTCCATCAGATTGGGATGAGGATTCTAGGTAGAATGCAAGCCCAGAACAACCACAGAGTTTATAAAGCAAGAGGACATCTTTTAAACTACAGTGTTAAGGGCTTTTGATGCATTCTAGCATCTTTTGAATATGTGAATGGGCTCAGTGAAACCAACTGTGGTGCTGGTACTTTTCCATGATGAGAAGTGACTATTAGACTCACTGGAATTGCAGGTTTATTTGGCGTGGGGTGCTGTATACCAGCTGCTGTGTTTGGACTATAACGCAGAGTTTGTGCACTCATCTGTGGGTTAATCACAGACTTAGAAGAGGAAATGGTGACTGAGCTTTGCAAGAGCACTTAGTAAATGTTCTACTCTCCTTGGAGCATTGGAGAGCACATTAAAGAAATAACCGAGAGAGAAAGAGGAGTGAGTCACACAAACAGTCCCTGTTAGTGCATTCCCCTTATGCTCAGAGATTGTAGAGGGCAAAGGAAAAGAAAAATGGAAAGGAATAATGAGAAAAGAACCTTCAAACTCTACTTTCAAGGGCTTTCTTCCTTGAACCATATAAGCAACTGCATTTCAGGAGCTTAAATTGAGGTTTTCCTATGGACACTTCCATCTGGCAAGCTGATTCTTTTGTGGACCATCCTTCCCCATTTGTTTCCAGTCTGGCTTCTCCGCCAATAATGAAACACTCCAATTTAAATTTACAAAAGAACACCTGGAAAGTGTACACATGCTTCAGAGTCTCAAAGATTTCCAAAGCAACAGCTTATGAATCCTACTGGACAAGGTGTGTCCACTTCATTTTAATCACTGACTTCTAATATTGTCAGTCTCCATTATAAAGAACACCAGGAATATTATTTTAGGAAAAACATTTTGGTTTTTTAGAATAGTACCTAGTGTTTCAGTTTGGGGCATAGGGAAGATATCATAATACCTGAACAGTAAGTTATAAATTCACTTTAAAACATTATATGTATTGAACAAATTGGAAAGCCAGATCCACCTATCAAATTACAATGAAAATTCTTATCACTCTGGCCTCATATTAACCTTTTGTACTATAATCATGCCAGGCATCTCTGCCTTCCCATAGGATGCATTTGCTCTTATAGCTATTTAAATAGGCTCACTTCTTGTTCTAGTACTAAAAGTTATTTTATTTCATCTTATGGAGAGTTCATTGCTAAATATATTACAGTAATTTCATTTTCTTATTTGCTACTAAATAACCTTTATTGAGTGCTTGTGATGTGTTTGGTGCTTCTGAGCAACATGTAGTAAGAAAACATGTAGTATTATCCTATTCTAAATCAAACAGTTCATTAATATTTCAGGGCCTCTAATTAGTACACAGAAAATGGGGGAATTAAGCTTGGCTTTTTAGTGGCCTCTTATGTACATATGATATATGAAATGTCTAATATTTAGTCTGTGACTTGAAGTTATCTTTACTGAGGACTCATGAAGATCATCTGGTTGATTTCAAATTCTCCTGTAACTCCATCACATACGTAAAATAGCATTTTATGGATTGAGGGTAAGACAAATAGCATTAGATACGGTAAATTTGTGTAAGTTCCTTGATCTCTATGTAATTCTTACCTGCTATTTGTGTGACTGAAATAATGATATCTACCTTTAAGAAATTTGATTAGAGATATCACATATTAAGTATCAAACAATTCAAGTACCATCAGTACCAGATAAATGATACTCATCTGAAAGCCAGTTTTATCATAGCCTCTCAAGTAAGGAACATGAATGCTCTGACTGAAGCTACTTTGGCTATCCATTTTCTCAATAATGCATATCTGTTGCATTGTCTTGCAACATCATAACCATATTAAGTAAGAAATCTAATTTTGATCGTGTTTTACCTTTTGGTAATAAAGTACTGGTAGATCCAACAAAAGATTACACATGCAAATATAAAATTAGAAACTGATTCATTTTAAAAACTAGTGGGTATATTTTATGTAGATATCAAATAGTTTACTTACCAGCCAGGCGTTGGTGGCACAGGCCTTTAATCTCAGCACTCGGGAGGCAGAGGCAGGCAGATCTCTGTGAGTTCGAGACCAGCCTGGTCTACAGAGCTAGTTCCAGGATAGCTTCCAAAACAATACAGAGAAACCCTGTCTCGAAAAACCAAAAAAAAAAAAAAATGGCTTACTTACCAGCCATAGCTGTATCAAATAGCTTAATTACCATAACTTAGGAAGGAAAGCAGACATGAATGTCTCTCATTTCTCTTGTACTTCTTCCCAAAGGACATAATAATAGAAGACAATAAATCCTGTTGGTCATTAGATTTTACTTCTTAACCATTTTGTTTGCATTTTATTTTGTTGTTATCTAATGGAGAGATGACCTCACACTCCAACTGCTTGGAGCAGTTCAAGCATACACAACCACCCCTAAAGGAACAAAACAAATATTTCAGTTAAAATAAATGGCAACAAGAGTGGGAGAAAAAAATCACAGCTACCTGATAGAAATAAAATAAGATTAAATGTAAAAAATTTAAATGGCAGCAGTTGCATTGAAAACACAGTAAATACTTGGTTTTGTTTCAATTGAAAAAACATTTCTTTCTTCTGATTATGACTCTGTTTCTCTCTACTACTTCCAATTTCTCCCAACTCTACTCCCATTAGGATCTACTCTCTTTGGTTTTTAATTTGAAAACAGTCTTCTAAGGAATAATTAAAAAATAAAATAAACAAAATGAAACAACACATCAGAATAGGCCAAAAAGAAAAGAAACAATAAAAATGTCTAAGTGAAGGCAGGGAGTTCAGAGGACTGTCTTTACATTTTCTCACAGTTAGGAATTCCATAAACAAACTCTACTGGAAGGCATTGTATTCATGACAAGGAACTCATGCGGACCAGTGCAGATCACATATGTCTCTATGACTGCATTCGAGATTTTGTCTCTTGATTTATTTAGAGAGCCTTGTTTCCTTGGTGTCCTCCATCCCCTCTGGCTCTTACATTCTTTCTGCCTCTGTTACCATAGGGTTCCCTGGAACTTGAGGAAGGATCGGGATTTAATAAATGCATCCCCTTTAGAGTCAAGTGTTTCATAGTGTCTCACTCTTTATATAATGTCTGGCAGTGGGTCTCTGTGTATGTTTCCATCTGCTACAGGAGAAAGCTTCTCTGTTGATAGCTGAGCAAGAGACTAATCTATGAGTATAGCAGAATGTAATTATAAGTCATTTTATTACTATTTATTTACTGATTTGTTTGCTTTCATAATAATAGTCTTTGGTTTTATGTTTCTGGACTAGTTATTCTCTGGTTCTAGGTCAACTAAGCAGTGTCGGGCATGGGATACAAATCTTGTAGTGGGCCTTAATTCAAATCAGGTACTTGTTGGTTACTCCCATAAACTTTGGGCTACCATTGCCCTAGCATATCTTTTGGAGAGGACACCATTGTAAATGAAATGGCTTGTGGCTGGCTTGGCATTTATGTTTCTCTTTTAGTAGTGTGCTTAGTAGCTCTCTATAGAAAATACTGTAGAATGTTGGGCAATGGCTCTATGTAGGTACCAGCTAGTCTTTTCCAACTTCAGTGAGTTGTGTAAGTGCTCTCTTCAGCAATGGTTCCTTGAGTAAGTTATTGGAGAACAAATTGTAGTCTTAGTAACAGCCTGAGTTGCTTGGGGATTCACATGGGACCACTTTGGCCAACAACTCAATTAGATATAACCCAGTCCTGGTCCTGGAAACTTGATTTGATGGTAAGAGATGTCTAGCTGAGACTATCTCCTCCACCAAATAGTGATTGCGTGATTGCAATCAGATTGCACACACACACACAAACACACAAACACACACACACACACACACACACACACACATATATATATATATATATGGAAGCTTCTATAGTATCTCTTGAATGAACCTTGAATTTAATGTCTTTCTCCTCTTCTTCAACACTTTGACCCTCTTGTCTAATACCCTCTTGTTCTAACATCTTCCCATCCATTCATAGCTATTCTTTTCCCTTTCCTAACAAGATCTATCTCTTTGCCCCAGTCTACCACTCTACACCTAACCTTTAAGGTTCAATGGATTGTAGTTTGGAAATTATTGCCATATGAGTTAACATCTATATAGAAGTGAATACATACCATATTTGACCCTGTAGATCTGGG